TTGCTGAGTAGGATGTGGCGAGGTGACGTTGGACTCAAACTGTCCTATAAAACAAATACAACCCCATTCCCAAAAAAGGTGGGACACTGTGCAAAATGTAAATGCAATGATATGCAAATCATTTAAACCCTATATTTCACTGAAAATAGTTTAAAGACAACATATCAAACGTTGAAACTGAGAAATTGTATTGTTTATTGAAAAATATTTGATTTGCATTTCCATTTTAAATTTGATGGCAAAAACACTTTCCAAAAAAGTTGGGATAGAGGCAACAAAGGCTGGAAAAGTTGTGTTATGCTAAAAAAACACCTGGTCACTAACATGATTGTGTATAAAAAGAGCTTCCCAGAGAGGCTAAGTCTTTGACAGGTAAAGATGAGGAAGGTTCACCACTCACTGAAAACATTTGGAGGGTTATGAAATGAAAAATACAACAAAGGAGAACCTGAACTGATGGGCAGCTGAAATCCTATGTCAAACAAGAATGGTAAAGCATTTCACTTTCTAAACTACAGCAGTTGGTCTCCTCAGTTCCCAAATGCGTACAGAGTGTTGTTAAAAGAAGAGGTGATGAAACACAGTTGTAAACATGCTCCTGTCCCAACTTTTTTGGAATGTGTCGTTGGCATTAAATTGGACATATATTTAAAAAATAACAATAAAATGTCTCAGTTTCAACTTTTGATTTGTTGTCTTTGTATTATTTTGAATTAAATATATGTTTAAATGATTTGCATATCATTGCATTTTGTTTTTATTTACATTTTGCAGAGAGTCCCAACTTTTTTGGAAATGGGGTTGTACAATAGTAGCTTTAAGGTCCAATTGTGTACCTTAAATAAGTTTTTACCCAGTGGAAGATTATTTATTTGTATCTTTTCATAACCTTATGTTTTAAAACAGAACAATACAATAAAAAGATGAGACAACGTGTGTGGAGTCAATACAACTTAGAATATTTAATTTCAATGGATTATGGTACAGGGCGGCACGGTGATGCAGTGGGCAGCAAGAATGGCCTGGGTTCGATTCCCGGCCGGGTGACCAAGGTCATTTCTGTGTGGAGTCTGCATGTTCTCCCCGTGTCTGCGTGGGTTTCCTCCGGGTACTCCGGTTTCCTCCCACAGTCCAAAAACATGCCGTCAGGCCAATTGGACGTGCTAAATTGCCCCTAGGTGTGAGTGTGTGTGTGAATGTGTATGTCTGTCTGTCTGCCCTGCGATGGACTGGCGACCTGTCCAGGGTGTATCCTGCCTTCCGCCCAATGACAGCTGGGATAGGCTCCAGCACCCCACCGCGACCCAGAAGGATAAGCGGTTTAAATGATGGATGGATGGATGGATGGATGGATTATGGTACAATAATGTTCCCTGACTAAAGGTACTGAGATGTACCCTTGAGGGTACCACCCCAGTGACAGGAGGGGTACACACCTTTATTTCTGAGAGTGTAATTGCACATGGCTACATAACTAACAGTGAAGTGAGGTAGGAAGGCTGGAGTTTTCGTAAGTTTGAGAATTATGTTTCCAAATCTGATTGGATAAATATAGTGAAATAAAGTGTTTCACAAGCTGTGTAGATAAACTATACTGTGTCTACCACCAGTCTCTTAAAAACAGGATAGATGTACTCCAAGCATACAGTTAAAAAGGATAGGAAAGATTCTTGATGTCATGAGTGGCATCATTGTTTAGAGGAGTTTGCTGTTGAAAGAGATTTGTGTCCTGTTTGCCTTTTAATATTCACTTTATTGTTCATCTGTTGTTTCCTTGGTTACACATATCCATTGATTTGCTGTGATTACCTTGAGTATATATTCAAGGTGACTGGGCAAAAAGTCTAGCGATGGAAAGGAAGTAGCTTAAAAAGGGTTAAGCAGAGTAAACTGTTAGTTAAACGAGCCTGCCCGAGCAAGAGCGGCTGGATTCGCTGTGAGGTCAACAGTAGCAGGCCGCTGTCTAGGTTGTGGGCACAGAAAGTGACAGCCAAACAGCTTGAAACAGCTGTGTTCCTGTTTTTTAAATTTATTTTGCACCCATTTATCCCCATATTTTTCTTTCATTTTAGTTTAAACCAGTTTAAACATCTCAATTAGACTCTGTCTTGATTCACTCTCACTTTTACGTAGATTCAGCCGTTACCTGGTCTCACTCTCACTTAAACTCAGTCTTTACCTGGTCTCACTCTTAATTAGACTCAGTCTTCACTCGGTCTCACTCTCAATTAGATTTGGTCTTGGTCCAGTCTCACTCTCAACTAAACTTGGTCTTTACCTGGTCTCACATTTACTTTGACTCAGTCTTGTCCCAGTCTCACTCTCATTTAGACTCAGTCTTTACTCAGTCTCACTCTAATCTAGACTTACTCTTTACCTGGTCTCACTCTCACTTTGACTCAGTCTTGTCCCGGTCTCACTCTCAATTAGACTCAGTCTTTACTTGGTCTCACTCTCAATTAGACTCGATCTTTACTTGGTCTCACTCTCAATTAGACTCAGTCTTTACTTGGTCTCACTCTCAATTAGACTCAGTCTTGACTCTGTTTTGCTTTCATTTGGACTTGACTAGTTAAGTGCGAACATTGTGTGCGCTATAAGCTCTTGCAATTAAAATCTAACCCCAGCTGTTTACTTTAAACTATTGTCTTTTATGTCTGTGTATTGTGTGTTTATATTCAATTGAACGTTATCTGTAGATATCACAAGTAGTCAAGCCTAGAACTAATAACAATCACACACACACAAAAGAAACCCCCTTATATGTTTAATGCACTGTCCCTCCCCTCACGCGTGAAGCTGCACTGACCAGCAACTGGAAAAGTTTTGTTTCTTCAGAATCCCTTGAACACAAGATGGAAGATCAAGTTAATAATGATATCTAAACAATGACTGTGTTTATATTTCCGATCACATCGCATACGCACTCCTGTAACTTTCATCAGCAATAAAAGGAAACACACACACACACACAAAAAAAAAATTGCAGTGATTATGGTAATGAGCTTAACCCCACAACAGGCATCACATGACTGCAGTATCATTATCATCATAGCCCTATTTTGAACACTAAACAGACAAAGTTACCTGCATCATTATGTAGCATTATGTTCCCTAAGATAAATGAGCATAACTGTTCATATACCATTGCTAAAGCAGTGATTGGAGGGCTGGGATGAATTTAAAGCTAAGCACATACACTCTTGTATATGTGTTTGTCACTTAAACTACTTCTGAACTGCTGTGTTATGATATTTATATGGAGTTCAATCCAGTATACATAAATTTCTCGCGGGTGAAATTTTACATAATTAAGCTACTGTATCCATCTGTATTCACTCTCTCCTCCAATGACCCTCTGCAATACTGCGTTATTTAGAGCTGATGTGTTCTGAACTAGAAAGTGGTTTGTGTACACACAGAGGCGTGTCTTGATTTCTTGCATCTGATTGGCTAGTTATTAATAGTAATAAAACGTAATATGTTATTATCTTTGGGCTGCAGAATTGGGGTGGCAAGCACTGGGGAGGGGTAACAATTGCCACTTTGCCACCCCGTAAATCAAGCCCTGTTAACAGACATATGTGGATCCTGTTGGAAAAGCATCCCAGGTGGTTCCTCATAAGGCTTCTTCAGATAATATTAAGATTGTGCAAAAATGCATGAAGTCAAAACCTTGCATATAAAAATATAAGTGCAACACTTTTTGCTAAAAAGATTTTACTGAAATGCCATAAAACAGAGTGGTTGTTAAACAGAATTTGCATTTTTAGGGAGAAATCCTGGAATTATTTTTTTCAAACTGCAGCAAAATGGAAGCACAAATAAAGAGTTGTTATTACTGTTATTTTAACATATAATTTATAATAAACTTATATCTTTTATACTTAAAACACATATCTATAGCAGCGCATTTGAGGTATCAGTAAATTTAAGGTGGCAGTGTATGCAAGGTATCAGTAAACTTAAGATGACATTGTATTTAAAATATCAGAAAATGTAAGGTGGCAGCTGTGGGCTGAAGGTTAGGGAACCAGCCTTGTGACTGGAAGGTTGCCAGTACTGAGCCGACAGTACGTGGCTGAGGTGCCCTTGAGCAAGGCGCCTAACCCCTAATGGCTCCCCGGGTGATGCGGATAGGACTGCCCACCACTCTGGGCAAGTGTGCTTACTACCCCCTAGTGTGTGTATGTGGTGTTTCACTCCACGGATGGGTTAAATTGTGGAGGTGAAATTTCCCCATTGTGGGACTTATAAGGGTCACTTAATCAAATTAATTAATTTAAAGTGGCAGTTTAACGTAGCACCTAGCAACACATTACCATCCACCTTGGATACTGTAGCAACCACCTAACATATAAGCAACACTTTAACAACCATCAACAGTCTTCCACCATATTAACGTTTAACATAATTAGTTGGGTTTTTTAAGCAAACATAAAGTTCATTCACAAGCTTTCCCTTTTTAGTTCTACATGAGTTTCATAGGTTGTCTACAGTTTTACTGTAAAATGAGAAAAAAGGAAAATAGTAGGCTAAAAAATATCATAACACATAGCCTTTCTAGGTGTGTCACACAGCCTTTCTATGAGGATGTGTGTCTAAACTGTTGAGTGGTAGTATATTCAAGATTCAAGATTCAAGAGTTTTATTGTCATATGCAGAGCAGAAACAGGCAGTTACACTGCACAATGAAATTCTTACTTTGCTGTTCCTCCATTCACAAATATAGCCTTAGAAACTAAAATATAAAGTATATATTTTTGTTTCTAAGACTATATTGGTGAATACATATGTATATGTAATACTCAAAATATATGTAATACTCAAAACATTTACCGCTGCACTAAACACATCTCAGTATACACACACACTCACACACACAAACACACAGAATGAGAGAGAGAGAGACGGGGGGAGGGGGAGAGAGAGAGAGAGAGAGAGAGAGAGAGAGAGAGAGATCTGCCACCTACACAGAAAGCAGACATATGGAAGCAATCGCCACTGAGGGCAGTTACTCAGGACAATGCAAACACTCTGTTGCACTCTTCTTCATAAAAAAAAAGTGCTACAGCAGTTCCAAATAAGAAGCACGTGACAGGATGTTTTGTGTTTTGTGTTATGAGGACACTCCTCTTTAGCTCAGTTCACCAAGACCAATGAGAGTTCGAGCCACAGGCAGAATTTGACTCTGGAATTTGCTTTTTTTGATCATCAAGATGATGAAAGTAACTACTGCTGTGCTTTTACTTCAGATTTTGCACTGCTTTGCTCAGTCAGGTATGCTGCCTCTTCCTTTTTCTTACAATCTTCCTTTTTCTTCCTTGTTCTTATGATCTAAATAAACCTTAGTTTGTTGTCTCAGCTAAAGAGAGAACACACATGGGTGCATGTTAGTGCTTTAAGAAGGGGTTCATAGATAAACAGCACTGAAAAAAATATTTTACTAGATCTTGTTTCCTTTGTATTAGCATTATTGGAAATTATCTGATATACAGCCATTGTCAGTGACATCTGTTTTTTCAAATGGTTCAATCTATAAAGCTAAAGCTGCTAAAATTTTGCATAATTTGCATAATCCTTTTCTCCCCCGAAATGCAAAACACAGTCTGGTCTAGACTGTTCTGTTGTAATGCATGTTAATTTTCCTGCATAGATGGAACCTCTTTTATGATCTACAATGCACGTAAGAACAGATGTCTGGGAGACAGCCTGCGAGAGCTGTTTCCATGCAACCCCCAGAGCCCGAGACAGCAGTTCCGCTGGACTTCAGAGAACCGCATCTTTAATGTTGAGCAGAAGAAATGCCTCGGCACGGGCAGCAAGAGTGAGGGCAGTAAACTGCAGTGGTACATCTGTGATGCCAACAATGACCTCCAGAAGTGGGAGTGCCAGAATGACACACTGTTCGGCCTGAAGAATGAGTCTCTTTACATATCTGTTCAGGGAGATTCCAATCTACTAACACTCTCCAAAGACCCGGCAGACAAGGGCAGGTGGACGATTCATGGAACGACGGACAACGTTTGCTCTCGGCCATACGAAGGTATCTATCTTTAATCTCTTAATGGAGAATTGAAATAAGCAGCAACGTTACTGTGTTTACAACAGCAATTGCACATTTCTTTATTTATGATTCAGTATTGGAACCTTTTGCCTGAAAAACAAAAAAAGAAGCAAAGATTTATCATATTCTTTCATTAATCTCTAAAACCAACAAACCTACAACTGAAATATGCACTACTTAGTCATATTATATTCAAAGCCTTCAAAAGCCTCACTGAAATGTCAAAGTAATAAAGTAATGAAAGGGATGTAGGATTTTTTTTCTCAAAACTCTGTACACTTAAAGGAAACTGCATTAAACTACTTACTAAGAAATAATATCATTCATACAGTTCATACAGTGAATTTCATACTTGTCTTCTTCTCTAAATTCACAGAAATATACACGATTAAAGGAAATGCTTTTGGACGGCCGTGTCATTTCCCATTCCATTTCAAAGATAAATGGTACACAGAGTGCACAACAGAAGGCCGCTCATCCAATCATCTGTGGTGTGCAATTGAGAGTGAATATAAACCTAATCAACTCTGGGGTTATTGCCCAAATCAGGAAATGGGTATGTAGTGTTTTACTGTGAAACACAAATGCACTGTGGATAACGTTTCACAGAAAGTGTCACCAAAATGTTTCTTAGTGATGCATCTCCTGCTTGTTATGCTTGTTTGGTTGTTTTCATGTAATTCTTGCATTGGTTTGTTGATGACTTGTTGATGGATTTGCTGCATTTTGATTCCTGCCTCTCAAAATTCATCCATTGAAACTACTCATCAATATCAGACATACTCATTTTTTAAAATAACAAACATGATGCAGTTTTTGTAAACTAACGAATTAAAAGGTACTCTGATTAAATTATAGACAATATCACTAACTTCACTAACGTCAGTTTTGGGGACAAAAAATTGTCAATGCTACTGAAAAAAGCCATTTGGGAATTGAAAGAGTGGGCTCTTATTTGTGAGCTGAGCTGGAATGCCCATCACTATGACATACTAAGCCAGGCATAACCATTTCATTTTCTGACACTGAAAAATTACAGTACATGTCACCTTAATCACAACATTTGGCATTGTTTTCCTACTGGTGAAGTGCTGACTAATACATTTGGAAGGATTTGTAATGGATCACTTGGATCCTATACCTTTGGTTTTCCAGGGTTTGCTTAACTTTTGTATAAAGAACACTGAGACATTCTCTTTATGGTCAGTTCAACAGTTCTGGAGGAAGAGTCCTCTGACAGACATCTATTACCAGCTGAATGAAGAGTCTGCACTGACCTGGTATCAGGCCAGGAAGAGCTGTCAGCAGCAGGGGGGAGACCTGCTGAGCATCACTGAACCCCATGAACAGACCTTCATATCAGGTACTGTCCTCTTACATCTCTGAGACACACTGCATCAGATAGCAAGGTCAGTTAAAGTCACCAGACATTAAGAATGATAAGAATGAGCAATGTGCCATTGATTAGATATATTCTTTTATATATATTTATTTTAGTAGTGTAATATAATGCCACTATCTGTATATGTAGCTTTATCTATGTAATGTATCTGTATTCAGATTTGAATACACTGAATTGCCAGTGGCTACCTTGTACCCAGTGTGCAAATACTCCCTGGTATTCCTGGGGGTTCCAAGTTGACTTGCTACTCCAGGGCTGGCTCAGTGCTAACTTTTACTCTCACTTACTTCTGCTAACTAACTCGCTAACTTACTAACTTGTGCTGGTTTCAAGTGGCAACAAAATGTTTGGTTTAACAGTTCTTCTTTTGGAAATGCTCTTTACTGGGTTGGTAAATATCCTGTGGTGTGAGGCAGAGCAGTGCTGCAGCTCTTTTCAGTTAAGAATACCAAAGACAGAAGCTCACTGATTGTGGGTGAAGCAGCTAAACAATGACCTTCCACTGAATTCATATTCACAGCGTAACGTCATAATAACTTATGACCCCGCACTGGACCCCCCCAAGACCCCCTGTATTTCGCACCTGCTTGTACCTACGCCTACTAGCCTTATGGTACACCTACAGTAGAAGTGCGCTTTGTAGTACTGTGCTGATTTGTCATCTACCCTTTACTTCATCCATCTCCATCCAAGGACCATCGCTGATCAAATGTCATTTGCATTGTGGACCATTCTCAGCAGTGACACCAGCATGTAGTAGTTGTGTTGCACTCATACGAGTGCATCACAGGACCACCATTGACTGGTGGACTATTCTCAATCTAACAATAACACTGAGGTGTTTAAAATCCCAGCAACACTGTTGCACCTGATAGAGTCATACCAAGACAACACCTTTTAACACATAACACAGCCATGTCGTTGTGACTGCTGAGTTGAGAACGGTCCACCAACCAAATATAATCTAATCTTGTGGTGCTCCCTTTTCATTAATGGACAGGGTACAGTTTGGTTTGACAAATTGTACGTTAACAATTGGTGCACCTTCTGAAATAGCCCATAGTTGTGACACGTTTGCGCTGCTTATTTGTTATGGAGGCACCACAGTATCTCTACATTTATGCATTTTGTACTGTGTTTTACATACAGTAATAATGAAAAGATTGAACACCCTCAGTTCTAGTTCTTCTGTTACACCCCAAAGATTGTGGTGTAGCTTTGATAGAATCAGCACAAAATTACAATCAATCATGAAATAACAAACTCAATATTCTCACCTTACAATTTCCTAGCATTGACTGTGACCACAGGTCCAGTCTTGTGGACAGGGCTGAACAGTTTAGATGCCTCAAGTGGATGGCGCTGGGTCAGTGGACAACCTTTACGTTATCTGAAATGGCTGAGTGGTGAGTTTTTAGTGTAAGCTTTCAGTACAAGTGTTTTTTTGTCATAAAAGCATGTTCATTTTTCATCTGTGAATGTACGTGTGTTTCACTGGGAAAAGGTCAACCGTCTGCTGCCCCAGGCCACAGCTGTGGGGTGATAAGTCAGCTTTATGGTTCTGAATGGTCCACTGCTGTTTGTTCTGAAAGACATGGATATATCTGCCAAAGAGGTCTCTCTATTCCAACTGTTCCACCAGGTATACAGTGTCTTTATCATTAATCATTATTTGTTTTATAAAGTAGTGCTCGACTTTGACATCCTAGATATTTTGCCGGTAGTTTTAAATGTTTGTCCACTGCTGTCCAGTTGTGCACACAGGTTCTTGTCACAGTCCATGGATCCCTTACTCAGGTCACTGCTACCTTCTCACTCGTACAAAGAAAACATGGCAGGAGGCAAAAGACGCCTGTCGACGTGAAGGTGGAGATCTGTTGAGCGTTCTCAGTGTAGAAGAGCAAAGCTTCATCATCTCACAGCTTGGATACTGTGAGTTCCTGTGCATGTGCTACCCACTGTTACCTGAACTTCAAGATTCTGTAAGATGAAAGAAGCAAAGGCTGACAAGCAATTTGGGATTTGAAAATGGCAATAAAGGAGAAGTAAATACTGTTTTGAGGAGCAAAGTATATGTCTTTATACCAAGTGATATACATACCTAAACATTCTGAAGACTTGAATATCAGTCTGTGCAGTCTATAACACCAGGCTGCAATGAATCAACAAACAATTAAGCTGTGTTATTTGTCTTTACTGTTGGTTATTTCCTCCCACCTGTAAAGCAAAGACTGATGAGCTGTGGATTGGTTTTAATGACCTTAAAACTGCATTGCTGTTTGAGTGGAGCGACCACTCCAGTGTCCCATTTGCCTTGTGGGATGTGAACGAGCCAAGCCACAATGCTGCCCTTGAGGAGGACTGTGTTTTAATAAGAGGAGAGGTAACAGTGCTTCCATCCTCAAGAGAATCACCACTGAAACAGTAACACAAAGCCAGCTGATGCTGTTCTACACTGCCAGAATAAAGGTTACTATACTGGTAAATGTTTAATTATCAAGGTACAAACAATGTAATTGTACCCTTAAAGGTACAACAATGATTTTAAGGTACAGCTGTGTATGTTTTCCCAGGGAAAAGGTACACATTGTTATCTCTGTATAACTACCCCAGTGACAGTTTAATACCTTTATTCTGACAGTGTACAGCATTTGAAGTGCTTGTTCTTTTCTTTTCACTTAGTTTTAACGCTTTGGAGAATAAGGTACAGCATAATAAAAGCTAGAAGAGGGGCTATCTAAGGATAGTCCATCTAGTAAACACATCTGTTTCTTGTCTAGGAGGGAAAGTGGGCTGACCAAATCTGTCAGAACAAGCATGGATACATCTGTAAGAAGAAAAGCCATTCAGATCCATCTACTAATGACACTGTTGTTACAAGCCCAGGCTGCAAACCTGTAAGTATTTATCTGAAATGCTTTGTTATTTACAATACCATATGCTTTGGGATACATATTCATTTCTGTTGTCCCAGAAGAGTCTGGGACTTTTGTTCACTGGTATAGATTTTTAATTCAGTTTAAAAGCTGTAGGATTTCTTGTTATGGTGGAATTATGTTTGAAGACTTCCTCTGATCACTGTCTCACATTTCTTGTCTATTTCAGGGCTGGTTCAGGTTTGGTTACTACTGTTATCTAATAGGATCAGAGATTAAAACTTTTGAAGAGGCCAAGCAGATATGTGAGAAAACTGGATCTTATTTGGCTGACATTTCGAACAGGTCAGAATTATTAGTTAACTTGTATTACTGTGCGAAACAGGCAATAAATACTTGTAGAGTAGGTAGTGCTAATGTATACTGCATGCAAAAAATACCACAACTTGTTCAACAACCTGGATGCAGAAGCATTCATGTATGTGAATAAGAGGTATAAGCTACAGTCTCTATTGCACTTAATGTGATACATGCATTCTGTTCGGTCCGTGAATGAAACACAATAGATCATGTTTATATGAACATACAGGATGCTTACAGTACCACTCTGCTCCCGGCCTTCAGGAAAAGTGACCATATCACTGGTCACGAAACCAACACACTGGCAGCTCTTGAAATGGCTTAAAGGGACAGTACATGCAGTGTGTGTGCAGCCAGAGGGAGCAGAACTGCTTTGAATGCATAGACTGTGAGATGTTCAGAACATTAGCCAGGTAGATGTGAAAAAATATGCGTCATCTGTCTCTAAATTCATCAGGAATTGTGTGGATATTGTAGTCCTAACTAAGAACATTCGCACTCTTCCAAACCAAAAACCCTGGATGAACAGTGAGAAGATTCTGGAACTTCTCACCTGTAGGCCTCAATCTTCAAAAAACATTCATAACATTGTTTACTGAACTCTGTCCTCCATCAAAGGGCAGTTGAATATCAGCATCTTATCATTTTGACCACACAAGGAAGCACAGAAAGACTGCTGCAGCCATCTAATGGCTAAAGCCCACTGGACCATAGGTGCTGCTCCATGGAGCACATAATAGGAAAACACAGCCATAGCACTTTTCAGAACAGCAATGATAAGCAAGAAAGTCATTTAATTTTATGCTCATTAAGTAGATATAATAGAATAAACTTGTCAGGTTTGGTGTTGGTTAACTAACCGCACAAACTTCTCTATCTATCTAGCTATTTTCTCAAAAAGGTACAAGGTGAGTGAAATTATGATGTGACTAGCCTAGTAATGTTAAGATTAGCATTTGTCTATTTATCTTAAAGAATATAAATTGGCTGCTATAAAATACATTTCAAGTGACACATCATTTACTAAGAATTTGTGGTCTTGGTCTGGGGATACTGATAATTAGAATCTTTTTTAATGCTGCTTGTGCAGGTGTTTCTTTTTTTTTATATTTTTTAAACAATGTTGGGTGGGGTCCAAGAATTATGAAAAAAGTTCACGAGTCATGGAGCTCAGTGTGAGCTTTCACCATAACATTAGACCTCACAACTAACAAGAGTGTTAAAGTTCTAAAGCATTGAATGTTCTTACATATATGGGCTTAAAAGCTTTTAACATGTAATTAGTTGTTAAATCAATGTCAAAAGCTAGTAATTTTACTTAGTGTTACTAAGCTCTTTTAGGGGATGAACAATTACAGCAGTAGTTGACACACTGCAGAGTGATAAACAGCATCAGAGTTGCTTTTATTAGCATGTCTGTTACTTTTCATGAACATGAAAGTGCATGCATGCAATTCCTATAAGTTGAGACAGTATATGTAAAGCTAATAAGAGCAGAAAGCAGTGGTTGGTAAATTCTGTTCAATCCTGAAATTTTGTTTGACTCTGTTTGACATCTCAAAAACAAGGCAGCATATGTGTTATGCATGCTAAACGCACTAATGCCCCTCATACCACGACTCTTTTCTTCATTGGTCTGGAGAACACAGCATCCTTTATTTCCATAAATTGTCTGAAAGATGGTCAGACCACAATACACATTTCCACTATGCGACAGCCCATTTAGAAAAGCTTGAGCCCAGAGAAGTTGGCAGCGTTTCTGGACACTGTTGATGACTTCCACTGTGTGTAGTACAGTCCTAACTTGCATTTGTTGATGTAGCAAACTGTGTTTATTTATTTATTTATTTATTTATTTATTTAAAACATTATAAAAACTCTCTACTCTATTTCTACTCTTCCCAGAGTACAAAATGCATTCCTCGTCAGTCTAATTGGGGCGCGGACAGGGAAGCACTTCTGGATTGGACTGTCTAACCAAAAAAATCAATATATTTGGGAGTGGACAAACACCAAGAGGATTTTGTTTACTCACTTCAATATTGGACTGCCAGGTAAAGCTTTGCATTCTGCCCATGAAGCATGTTCTAATGATTTTGTTACAGCAGAAAAATGTCCACAAATGTGTGTTTTGTCACTGCTGTCACAAATACAGGGAGGAAGCAAGGTTGTGTTGCTATAACCACAGGATTTCTCGCGGGATTATGGGATGTGCTAAACTGTACTAATGCAGAGAAATACATCTGCAAGCAGAAGGCTGATGATGTGACCACTACTTTGCCCCCACCAATCACTCCTGCTCCTCACTGCAGTGCAGGCTGGAATCAAATACCAAACAGAAATCTCTGTTTTAAGGTATTTCTGATGATTTATGAGGAAGTATGATGAAGTGCTGTGAATGTTGAATTACAAACCAACATGTGGTCAAAATCTTTGTGGAAAAATAAGTGACAAACATTTATCATGTAGGGGAGAGTGTGGCACATCTGAACACAGCCAGATTAATATTTTTTATATATAAACAACCAGCACACCTACACATATCTGCTGCAAATGAAAATGTAAACTTTGTTTCAAGCAAATACTGGTAAGGAACAATTCACCTGAAAGCAGCACGATAGAACATCCAAACTTACCCCATAGACAGGGTTATTTGAGCGGCTGTGGGGGATTTAGCCCGGTAAAACAATGTGAACATAATTGAAACAATACAATTTTATGATGTTTGAACCAAATAAGATTTCCACCCGAAGTACATCAAACTTAATATGATTAGTGAAAAGCGCCTGTGTTACACGTGTAAAATTAATTTGTTTTACCACACAATGGAAGAGCTAATGTCAGCAAGATAAAAAAGTTATAAATATATTTTATTTTTTATGATATCTGTAGTGTGTTTTTGATTAATCTGCACAAAAAGTTAGAATTGGACTAAAATTGGTTATGACTAACGCTGCTGTGCAGGGGCTGTACCTTGTACTCTAACTGTGATTTGTTTACATGCTTCAAAACAGTGCAATAGCGATAAAAATGTCTGTAGCAGGGATGCCAGACACGACCTGGTAATTAACAGCAAAAGTATGTTTTCTCAGTGATGGTAAAAATGTGTAAAATTACAGTGATTTAATTTCCTAGAAATGTTGTCTTTAGCTGCAAGTCAATGGTTTCAGTAGTTCAAATTCTAGTTATTCAAATTCTACTTGTTATTCTGACAGTATATTACCAGAATATTAACAGTGATGACCTTTAAAATAAATGCAAATGTTGGTGAAACAAGTGATCACTAATTTATTTCCTGTAAATTAACTACAGCAGTGTTAAAATACAGTATATGTATGGTTAACCTTTTAAACATGTGTTGACCCTAAAAATTGAGTACTTTGAGTACTTTGATAGTGAAAATACTTTTTTTTTTTACAGTGTATGTATGTTACTTTTAACAGATAGAATCATTGGTAGAGGTGCAGTGAAAAAATCGCAGTTGATGCTATGGTAATACGACAAAATAACCAAAAACATGTTCTATTTGAACCTATTTAACTACATAAAATATCCATGTTACATTTTACCCCATGTTAGTTTGTGCCCCTCTCTCACCAAGATACTAATCAACCAAGATTTGATCAACTGTAACAAAAACAACATGGTGAATGAAGGTTAAACATCACTTGGCTATTTAACGTAATCTTTCATTCACTGGTTCTCTTTGATTAAGTTTTTTAACCCGGAATACAGAAGAAAGAAGACGTGGTCTGAGGCTCTGGACTTCTGCCGAGAACTTGGGGGTGATCTGCTTAGCATCCACAGCGCTACTGATATTGAGGACTTTCAACCGTAAGATTGCAAATTAATTCATTTCTAAATTCAATACAGTCATACTGTACTAATTTTACTTCATACTCCAGTTCTATGCTGAAAAGCAGACTGAACATAACTGAGCAAAGGTGACATTCAGTCATCCAGCTCAGTGGCAGAAAATGGCACCTCTGTATTACAAACAGGGGTGCACACACATGCTTGCTGATTAAGTACTCAGTAACATCCCCTCTGGCAAACACTTTTCTAGCCAGCAAGATGTCTTTCCATTCTTGTTTTAGGAATTTTCTCCCACTCTAGAAAGCGTCTAGTTTGGCAGGGTTCTTGGGCTGTCTTGCATACACAGCAGATCTATGCATGTTCAAGGTGGGGGATGGAGAGGGCAATTCCAAAAGCTCCACCTTGCATTTCTTGAAGTAGTTCAGTGTGGACCTTGAGGTTATTTTTGGATTAATGTCCTGTTGTAGAAGTCAGTCTCTTTCAGAATCTTGAATGACCTGTGCAATGTTTCCTGTGCTACTGGTTGCCACACAACCCAAAGGCAAAGTAAATCTACCCTCAGTGCTTAACAGTTGCCAAGATGCTCTTTTTTGGTCAAGTGCTATGTCTGTTTTTCTGCAAACACTGGAATTAAATAGTGCCTGAAGTGCTCCATTTTTATTTCATTAGTCTACAGTACTTGTTTTGGACATTCTCCTGTCTTATCTAGATGTTGTAAGTTTTCCATTTGATGGCTCCTTCATGCAGATTACGCTTGGACAAACAATGTTATTCAGTAAAATGATGAATGCCACTCCTAAATCAGCTAAACCATCCTGCAAATCCTTTGCTGTCATTTGGGGGTTTCAGTCGGCATTTTAAACAAGCGTGTGAACAGTTCTATCTGTTCTATCTGTTTTCTTGATCTTCCAGAATTTGCCTTGACTTCTGCAGTTCCCCTTAACTGCCATTTTTAATAATATTTTGGACAGTAGAAATTGTGAGCTGGAAAAGCTTTTTATATTATATTTATATTCTTACTTCATCATCTTGAAGCCAGCCTGCTGATAGAAGTGCTGTGTAAAAAAAAAAGCTCAGCAGGGCCGGTGATCAAAAAGCATTGCTCAGTGTGGTTTGCACATCGCATATCTTGGCGCAGGGAAAAAAGGATTCTATTCAAGTGAATGGCTCAGCACATGCAAAACCTTTTTCCTGGGGGTAATGTGCATGCTGCTTCAGACAGCAATCCTCTTGCTATTCATTGGAGGAATTTATTTTGAAAAATAACTTAGAAAAAATTCAAATAACTAGAATATCCCATGCCTTATTAAGTTTTAGTGTGTTGCAATACAGTTGCAGTATCTTTATTTTTTTAATTGATTATTTTATTGCACTTAATGCTAACCATCTGTGTTCAAAATGATTAATTTTATATGCAATATTTTTTAAAGATGGCAGTTTAACACCATTATCATTTTATCTGTTCTTACCTACTGAGCTACTTTTTAGCCTGAGAAAATATTTAGGTAAATGCTTTAGACTTTAAAAAAAAACAAAACAAAAAAAAACACACAGTTGGCAAATAAAAGACCTCAAAAGAGTTAGCAAAGACCACAAAAGAGAGTGCTAGGATAGTCAAGGCTAGCACATGCTTCCTCCAGGTCTTGTGAAGCCAGCCACTTTTTAAAACTGCAGCTAACACAATGTGCCTTTGTTTACTTACCCTCATGTGTCTTGCCATGTGGTTTTGTTGTTGCTTTATTCCTGTCTCCTCCCCTGCCCTGCCTTCTTGTCATCCTTCTCACCTGTGTGTTGTCTAAAGCCCTTTTCTCTCACTAACCCCAAGAGTTTCCTGTTTGTTTCCTGTGAATTTATAGCCCCATTTGTTTGTGTTTTGTTTGCTTGGTGTTTTGGTTTCAAAGGCCCTGTTTTGTGAGTTATTTCATAGAGGTATTTTACAAAGTAGGATTTTTCAGTGTAGCCAGATTACTTAAGACCAAAGTCAAGCTTGTCCAGTAGGAAAAAAGCTGAGGGACATTCGTATTGGACAGTCCTTATCTTTGTGCTTAAGTTATCTGGCTAACTGAGAATTTATTTCTTTTGGGATTTGTTTGCAATGGACTTATAGAACATAGATAGAACATGATAGAAACATAGACTTGTGCTTGCATCCAGCCTGTTTGTCTCCCTCATTGTTACAACAGCAGAATGCTAACTGCCAGTTCTATTACATCAACTAACAGACTCCCATGTTGGCTAACCTTGTGGCTGTCCAGAGAGAGTGAGGCTAATTGTCTCTTAGCTTCTTGGCTGTGAATGACTGTGGTATCTCTTGGTCACCAGTGTTACAAAATATTCTTCTGCAAGTTGCATATGCAATTACATATCAGAGAGGTAGAAATCTCTGAAACTTATGTAATGTAGCTTTAAGCTAACACACAGTAGCACAGTTCAGTGGTCCAAAACAGAGCTTTAATTTACTTAAGTGTTTGATCTGAACTTGACAATGGCCTGACATTCTATTTGAGGCACAGCCAATCCAGTTCATGGCGCAAAGATTAGAATCTGAACCTGATAGCTCAATAACTTTTGCACCCAAACCTGGTAGCCACCAACTAGAGACTGGAGTAAAGCTTCACATTTGTTATGACTGGTGCTGTTAGATTACTTTGTGATGACAATGACAGCCATTGACAGATCACCAAAAAAGAAAATAATGTAATGAAGGACATAATTCTTATACCTACCCAGAAAGATGCCACTGAAAGCATTTAGCGGAAGATATTCCCAATAAAAAGGATCTGGGTAATTTCTGAATACACGGCTTATTATGACAGAATTAAAGAAGGAATCAGATCACAGTTAAGCAGCTCTACATGCAAAAACTAGATATAGGGTTAAAGGGCTCAAAAACTTTTTTCTTTCACAACTTTGCTTGCAGAAGCGAACATGGGTGGATTGGCTACAGCATCCAGGATCCCTCTGCTGGTTACACATGGAGTGATGGCTCCTCTGTGAGTTTTCTTTAAATTTAATCAGCTGTCCTGAGATGATTCTTCACAGGGAGAGGGAAAGCCTGTGTTTGCACTGCAGTGACAGATCAGCTTTGGTTTCTTTTCTCTCAGTCATCCTATCAGGACTGGGCAGAAGGGGAACCAAGCAATTCACACAATATGGAAAAATGTGCTATACTTCAGCATAAACGGTGGTTTTGGGGTGAAGGAAAATGGGATGACCAGCAGTGTGAAGACAGGCACTCATGGCTTTGTGAGATTCGAAAAGGTAAAGTAAGCAAACCATTACCATTACCTCATTTGCATATCATGACCTAATGCAGATGCTTCTGCAGGGAGCCAATAAAACAACAGCATTCAGCAGCTTATGAGCCAGTGGCTGTGCTCATAGAGTTTGAGGTCGAGCAGTGAGTGCACTGTTCCCCCAACTGACCAATCTGGATGACCAGAAAGAACTGAATGTGAAATAAACATTTTTTTCTAAATACAGCATAGAATGATGTTATGGGGTAGTGTAAGAATTTTCGTCAATAACGTTTTACTAAATTAACAGAATTAACACTGTATTATTGCAGAGATGCTTCTGCACTAGGATATACACATTACAATCCAGTACCAAATCCAATCCAGTACTTGTTTTACAAGTACATTAGTGTGGTATTGGATTGTCATACACAAATGAATAGTGTTATTTTCTGTTTTAATTCTTATTACTGGGATTACAGTTGGTATCATTATTATTATTATTGTATATACATTGATAATAGTTTTAGTTAGTTAAGTGCAAATTAGGGATTTTTTTTAGGCTGGTAGTTTATTATGCTTATATTTACACACATTCTAACAGATGCAAGTTTAAATGTTCAGATACACCAAAGATGAAACTGATGAAAATGCGTGTGCTAATGTTATGATCTTATTTAACCATATGCCTTTAATAAAAAAAAGGGTCTTGTATTGTTTACTTGTGTTCATTCTAATGCTAGTGGTTTTTAACACATACATACCTACTGCCCAGATGAATATACTGATTTTGCAGAAATTTGTCAATTTTAAGGACATATTGAAAGCCCTGTTCTTTGTTTAGCCCAAATTAGACTAAAATGAGATCAAATTACTAAAAGCTTGTTTAGTGCTTTTAAGCCTCTAATTAGTGATGACTGAAAACTTATGAATATGGAACATCTTTAACCTGAATTTGACGCTGCTAATTATATGCAAAAAAGTATTCAAGAATTTAGGTTACTTCATGTTTAGTAATCTGCATAACAAAATCTTAACAAAGTATTTGATGTGCAATGTTACAACTAATACTACAATTTCACACCTAACAGACCTCCTGTTAAGTGCTAATACAGGTCATAATGGGTAAAGCTTAATGCATAGTGAATAAACCATTTACAGGTCTAATTGGGCTTTTCTGAACAAAGAACAGGTCCTTAATACACATGAATTAATAATGTGTTCCTTAATTGAAAGTGGTACCAGTGCATTTACTTTTTATTTTATTTTAGCTGACCTTTGCACAGTCCTGTATGCTGCTTTGATAAGCTGAGTGAAATTTCCTGTCCTGATGCACCCATTATAGCATGAGCAGTGAGCGATGCTCTGATTCTCCAGGACTAAAGCCCAACATTCCTGCTTTAGGGCTTTTAAAAAGCTACCAAGACTTTCTTTCCTATGTGCTGCCATGTAATGTGTAAATAAATGGATTTGATGCAGACAGTCTCTATTTTGGTCTCCCTCTAGGTGTGACTCCAAAAGAAGTAAGCATAACAAGTAAAAGTAAGTTTTCTTACCAAATAACTAAGAATTTCATTTAATTTCATTAAATTATTAGATTTTTGTAGTGGGAACTACATGCATGTGCAGAAAGTACATTATTTTTAGTGTACAACTCATTTTTAGTAATAGTTGTTTTAATTTTTAGTTACAGATCCAAAAGAAATATATTTTTACTTTCATTTACTTACATTTTTGTGCATTTCCTCTTTTAGATGAGTAAGGTTTTAACACAGCACATGTGCTTTCACTTGAGTACACCTTTTTCACCCCTGGCTGAATGATATACCCTGCTTTCACAGCATATAATAAAACAGATGATGGCTGGATTATATTCAAGGGCAACCAGTATTACATCTATTATGGTTTTCCTGTCTCTATGGAACAAGGACAGAGGTTCTGTAAGCACAGACATGCTGATCTCGTGGTCATCAATGATGACGAAGAGAGACTGTTTCTGTGGCATCAGGTACGGTTGTTGATGTAATTAAACCTTCTAGTTATTTAATCTTTCAAAACAATATTCATATAGAAACCGTGGCACCGCTGCACCTTTAATGGCTGTTGTAGTTGATTTGCACACCTGGGAGCCCACGATGTTCCTGTAGTTCTGTGTTATGTCGCAGACATTATGTTTAGCTACAGTAAGTGTTGTTAAAAAGGGAATGTATTAATCCCTTAAATGGCCAGGGCCCACTGGCAGGTGTGTGTTTTATAACACACTTCTATAACCTAAGAATAGCTCAGCTTGTTTGCACTGAAGTCCCTGTAATAACTAAATAATAAGGCTTAGTATGTAATAAGTTTGGGTTTTTAAGTGGTTAACCTGCTTGTCTGTCCCGGTAAGTGTCATACCGACACATTAAAGGAGAATTTAACCAAGTTTTCTAAATTTCTCCATAAGACAAATGCAAACAAAGCCATTCAGAGTGGTTTGGAATGCTCTGAGAAGCTTACAAAGTCAGGATTGTTCACAGTGGTGGTGATAGGAACTAGACATCTGAAGATTTGAATGCCTCTTACAGGTACATCACATGAAATATGAAATAGTTATGATGCCCATGAAATTGTTCTATTCTATTCTTTGTTCTGTTCATTCGCTGCAGTAGGTGAAGTCGCTGCTGGGCTTTCTTGGCTAGGCAGGTGGTCCATGATGTGAACACCAAGAAACTTGAAGCTTTTGATGCTCTATAGAGTTGAAGCATTGGCGTACAGTGGTGAGTGATTACCACTGTTTGTCGTCTTATCAACATTAACAGATACACTACATAGACAAAAGTATTGGCCCTTCTAAATCTGTAGGCATTAATATAGAGTTGGTCCTCCCTTTGCAACTATAACAGCTTCCACTCTTCTGGGAAGGGTTTCTACAAGATTTTGAAAAGTGTCTGTGGGAATTTTTCCAGAAGAGCGTTTGTGAGGTCAGACGCTGGTGTTGGACGAGAGGGCCTGGCTCGCAATCTCTGTTCTAGTTCATCCCAAAGATGTTCAGTGCTGTTGAGGTCAGGGCTCTGTGCAGGCCAGTCAAGTTCTTTCACACCAAACTCACCCAGCTATGTCTTTTATGGACCTTGCTTTGTGCACTGGGGCACAATCATGTTGGAACAGAAAAAGGCCTTCACCAAAATGTTCTCACAAAAATAAAAGCAAACCATTGTCCAAAATGTCTAGATTTGCTGAGGGATTAAGATTTCCCTTCACTGGAACTAAGGTGTCTTGGCCAACCCCTCCTCATCATCCCTCCTCCACCAAACTCTACAGTTGGCAGAATGCAGTCAGGCAGGTAATGTTCTCCTGGCCTCCGCTGAACTCGTCCATCAGACTGACAGATAGAGAAGCACAGAACACGTTTCCACTGCTCCAGAGCCTAGTAACAGCATGCTTCACCCCCCCTTCTCATTGTGCATTTTGATTTTAGGCTTGTGTGTAGCTGCTCGGCCATGGAAACCCATTTTGTGAAGCTCTTAAATGCAGTTCTTTTGCTGTTGCTTCCACAGCCAATTTTGAGCTCTTTAGTGAGTGATTCAACAGAGGATAGACACTGTACGCTTCAGTACTCGCCGGCCCCATTCTGTGAGTTTGTGTGGTCTGAGCTGTTGCTGCTCCTAAGTGGTTCAATTTCACAACCATGGCACTTACAGTTGACAGGGGCAGATCTAGCAGGACAGAAATGTTGCAAACTGAGTTGTGGCAGAGTGGACATCCTTTGACAGTGCCATGTTTAAAGTCACTCATCAGTATCACTCATTCTACTGCAGGTGTTTGTCTATGGAGATTTCAAGACTGTTTGCTTATTTTATCCACCTGATAGCAATGGGTGTAGCTGACACACCTGAACTCAATAGTTGAAGGGGTATCCCAATACTTTTGTAGTGTAGAATATTGTCTCTGCAACTGTCTGCAAGCCGCGTCACCTCCTCCCTGTATGTCGCCTTTTTTGTTGCTGAGAAGACCTACCATGTAGTATCATCAGCAAACCTGAGCATGTGAGTTGAGCTATGCTTTTCAGCACAGTGTATTTCATTACTGACCACTCAAAGCACATCATGATCAGATTGAGCAGATTCAGATTGGGTTGATAGTCATTGAGGCAAGACACAGTAGACAGTAGGCTGCCTCAGAGAAATGTTGAAGATGTTAGTTAGGACATCCGCAACTTAATTCGTTTTCAGTGCCCGGCCAGGTGTGTTGTTAGGGCCAGCAGTCTTATGAGGGTCAGCTGTGGAAAGGGTAGTCCTCATGTCTAGTGGGTAGACCAAGAATTTGGTCTGTGGGAGGAGGGGTGGTCCTCCTTGCTGGCTAAAATCATGCATTTGGGAGCAATGCATCACCATCACAGGCATGTGATATCACTTTGTGTTCAGTGATGGCCTGAATGTCCTGCCACATACACTGTGTGTCTCTGGTGTGTAGAAAGTCTCCACAGACGCTCTGTGTATTAGTTGTCCCTTTGCCTTTCTATTAGCCCAGGACAGGTTGGCTCTTGCTATGCTGAGAGCAGCTTTGTCATCTGGCTTGAAGGGAGCGTTCCAGGTTTTCAGCAGCACATGCACCTCTGCAGTCCTTCACTGCTACTGGTTAGCATGTATGGTGATGGTCTTAAAGGAAGTCACATCATCTATGCACTTGCTAATGTAACCAGTCACAGATGGCATATAGTTCTCCAAATCAGTAGAATCATTATACGTGGCATGTTATATTTTGCTGCATATAAAAGCATAGCATATTAACATTCCTGGCTTATTACATACTAAGGCTGATTATACAGTAACTGCAGGGACTTCAATGCAAACTAATAGATTTTCTTAGGTTATAGAAGATGCGTAATAAAATATTGTTTGGTAGAAGGGAATAATTGTACCAAAGAGCACTTGCATTGCTTCCTGGTCAAACGTTTTATTTGCCGAAGGTCATATGTATTAATTATAACTACTTTGTGATTATATTATGATTTGAACTGAGTGTGACAAAGTATAATTTGTGTATTACAGGTTAAAGAAGAGCGCAGGAATATTTATATTGGTATGAATGTTGATATGGACAAGTCATTTTCGTAAGTCTGAAGAATGCAAGCCCATTCTCTGTCCACATTCAAACACATATTATTAAAAAAGAAGTATGTAGTTATGCAGTTTTTTCTGGCAAGGTGGATGGATGGATCGCCAATTGTATTCCAGGCATGGGCACAAAACCAGCCGGCCTTTTTGAACAACGAGGAGCACTGTGTAAAGATGAATTGGTACAATGGTAAGTCAGTCTTCAGTGTTGAAGCTATATTGAAATTGACCACAGCAACCAGACAAAATGGCACACATGTAAAGTAGAAACTGGAGAATCTAATCATTTTAAACCCCATATGTGTAATTGTGAATCAAAAGCATTGCATCTGGCTATTGGAGCAAATTTAGTTTATTTATTTTATTTAATAGTTAAATGTTTGTGACTAGTATAGAGAATATGCATTATTGAGAGCCTACCAATATCTCCACAAACACACTTGTTTAGCTGGCAGCAGGTTATTTTAGTCAAATTTCATTTTGTACTAAGATTTCCTTCTGAACTTTGAGTGAAATTTTACAATGTGTAATCTGAATTCCTGATATTAAGAAAAATAAGAAAAAAGCTAAAACGGCTTGCCATAGTAATTAAAATTGTGTGAAAAAATGCCACATATTAAACTTGGTAAAAATTGCTATAATATATTGGAAAAAAACTCAAATTAATTTACAATAAATTGGAAAAAAGCTTAAATATTTACCTATAAGAAATTCCTAAATGCTACAGGTAAAACCTGAATTTGAAGATGTAATAATTACATTTTTATATACTTAGTGTTTAAAAGTAAAAACATTTTCTGATAAAGAAACTTTGTTTCTTGATTAAAGTTGAAAGTATCTTTACCAAACACTTTACAATGGTTTGCCAGCACTTCTTCTCTTAAAATTCATAGCTCTGTTTCTGAGAAATTTGGTTGTCTTTGTTTTTTTTGCCTCATCTGTTCCATCCTGCCCTTTTTGTCAGCCAACCAAAGCTTCACTTGACATGGGTCTTTAATATGTATAACCTCATTTACATGTGGATTTTGACTGGTTCTCGTTTAGAACACAGATGAAAGTACTGCAGTGTTAAAAGACACCGGTGCACTAATTACCGCTGTGGTGACTTTACGAATAGCTCTTATTTACAATGCCATGCATTTTGCATGGAGTAGCGCTGTTACGGAGTTTCCCATTTTTGTTGTCGTTCTTTTTTCATTTTTCTTAATTTATGTTTTCAATCTTTCTGTAATCTGAAAGTCATATTGAAAAAAATGGAACAATCATTGTGGTCTTTTTGTCCTAATCTCATTCTAATCTCCCCCCACAAAAAGAAAGGCCTTCTTGGATTGAATTCAGAGTGTTAGAGGATGAAAACTGATCAGTTCTGCAAAGACATGGCCTGGATGGAACCCAGTTTGATATATGATATAATCCACCCTAGTGTACTACATTTGAAGATGTTTGTAAATTCTGTAGTCAGAGTAACAGATCATTGCTTTTTTTCAGGACTTTGGGAAAGTGTAAACTGTGGTGAAGCGATGCATTTTGTCTGTAAGAAAAGTGACTCTGTCCTGGTGAATACCACTGTTGCCCCCACTGAGCCCCCCCAAGGAGGCTGTGCTTCTGACTGGGTGAAATTTCAGGAAAAGGTGAAAGAGATTCTACATTAAGCATATCACACTCTTAGTAACATATATCCTGGTTTATGTGATCCAATCTTGCATAATATATATAAAACAGTGAAAAGTAGTGAGCATGCTATGTTCCAGTGTTCTCTACACCACTGGATAGGGCCACAGTAAAGGAATGGAACTTGCCTACAGTTTTGTCTCTTGTCTTCAGATATAATGCATGAGAAAATGTGTGTTTGCTTACAGTGTTTCCAGATAGGACTGGACATGAAAACATGGGCAGAAGCCAGATCATACTGTAAACGTCTTGGAGGAAATTTAGTTTCCATTACCAATATACATCAGCAAGGTCAGTAAAATCATCAGAAAAAATAGCAAATACTTTCTTTTGAATGTTATCTGCAGATGCTTTGTCTTTTACTAATATTTGACTAAATATCTAATAAATGTACCTGTACTTGAAGTTGAAGGCATTAGATTCTATTATAGATTCTCTAACCTTAACTGTTTGTCACCAAATAGTTTTACTATTTGAGCATGTATATATGCAGTCATGTGAAAAAGTATTTACACCCCAAGAAGTGTTTGTTTTTTGACATTTGTGGGCATATCGGTATTTGATTATCAGCAACTGGCAAATAACAAAATAACAAACAAAAAAAATTTACTGAGATTTTGTTTTTCTCTGTTGAAAAAGTAAGTACACCCCTGACTTAAGTAATTGGCACTGTCCAATACTACAATGCTATTTCCTGATTCTTTAGGATTATTTTACAACATTTAAAACTGTCTTCATAGCCATTCATTACTAAAGGTACTCTTTACGTTGTTACTTTGTGGCTTCTGTTGCAGAACATTAAAAGAAAGCAGTACTTTGAATGCTTTCCACGCAGCTAGGAAGTCACGTTCACCACAAGTTCAAAATCATACAGTTCCCAAACAACTGCTATAATACTGATTTTTCTGACATTTCCCTCCTGTTTATAGTATATGAGAGTTCAAGCGCAAAATCAAAGCATTAATCGAACCACAATAAGGAAATGACAGTGTGTACATCTAGAATGTAATTTCCACAGCCTGCTCTCCACTAGGTTTTCACAGGCCATTCACTATCACTGTCCTTTATTTACAAATTGGGCTCTTCAATTTCTTCCACTGCTGCCAGGGTGTTGAATTCCTCCAGCACTAACATGGCTACATAACCTGACTCCTCTGAGCCAATGGCCTCATATACCAAGACCTTGGTGACAGCAGAGTCAATGAGGCACAGGATGAGTCCTCTCGCACAGGGGATGAGACAACACCAGACAACAGGTAGTGATGAGGGCTGCTGCCACAGCAAAGGAAACTAGAACAGAATAGACAAGAGCACCCCACTTTCTGAACCATGATTCGAGTAGGGAGGTCAAGGGGTTATTGATACCAGCATTATCATGCATTTGTTTGGACAGGGTCTCTAACCCATGGAGAGCCCTAGTAAAACTTCCATCAGGGGAGGTATTATTGGGAATGAAAGCACAACAAAAATCACGAACATCCTATATACACCGCCTCACTCAGCTAGTAACATATCTAGAGCAATTCTATTTTGCCATGCCATAAGTGATGTAGCCTGCAGTTGTACATAGAGAGCTTTTAGAGCATCTCTACTATGATTTATGAACTGCAACTGATTGTAATACAAATAGTTAATCCAATCCACATTTTTATTAATCGTTGGCCACAGAAAAATTGATTCAAAATCTGCCGCAATCTGATTTCTAGCCTTAAACTCATCCGGTACACCTCTAGGGACCCCTATTGCATCTGTATAGATAAAGTTATCAAAGGCTCCTGGTGCTGAAGCATTGCGCTTCTGGCGGTGGTGATGCTTTAGCCTCTCAGGCAGTGCGGGCAAGGCGGTAGTGGGGTAGATATGAAAGGGCATGAGGAGCTGCACCAAGGTGCAGGATCCCTGCCAGGACTGGGGCAACACAGCCCTCTGTTTGCTAACCCCACACAGGCACCACAGGTCAGCGCGTGCCATGGTGTGGTTGGTGAATCACTTAGACGGATAACCATTACTATTTTTGGTGACATCGTTGGTATATGTGCACCAGGGAAGCGTTGACACATTCTTCCAACCAGAGGACCTAGAGAAACAGGTGTAGTTCCCAGGTAAGGCTAGAACACCAGGTGGCATAGTAGGCTTGGTGGCTGGAAACAAATAAGAAAGAAGTTGACATGTGCAATTGAAAAATTTGTCACGTGTGAACAGCCGCAGGGCACATCCCTCATCTGCATTTGCTTGTGTTAGTCTGAAGGGAGTTGTTCCTAGAAGAGGTCTGCTAGCTGAGCATGCTATGCAATTGCTAACATTTGTGGTTTTAGCCGTGTACAGTAATGGCTTCAATGGCTAGTTTTTCAGATATGGAGAAACGTGTGGAATTCAACCAAGAGCCAGCAGTTGTGGTAATGTTAGAGGCAGTTTGTGAGTAAGGTTTTGGGGTGACCTTTATTTGAAAATGACCCAAAGGATCTTGTCCGGAGACATAAAAACCAAGCACATAAAGACCAGCATCTGAGAGTTTTGGATTTATGAGGGTGAGATACATCAGATTACAATCATCGATGGAACAGCTTGTGGGCGTTGTGTTGGGTTAAAGGATCGGGTCCTCGGGAGGCTCCTGGACTCACCAAGGGTAGCTGGTGTGATTATTGGGATGATGTTATTTACAATTTTGCCCCACCTATAAATCCCAAAATTGCAAATAACATCATCCCAATAATCACACCAGCTACCCTTGGTGAGTCCAGGAGTGTCTATCAGGGGTGTTTCACAGGCATATTTTTCTGCCCAAATGTAACCAGTTCTCTGGTCAGTACATTCAATTACTTGGCACAGGTCAGATTTGACCGTGCCAGTGATCCCTTCCTGGTACTCCATTGTTAGGGCCTTGATTGTTCTTTGGGGGCCCCCTTCACCGGGTTGCCCTGAAAGATGGGAGAATGAATCCCTTTTACAACATAGAGCCCGTAGGCAGTGATAATTATGTAGCAAAAAGTCATTCTGGTCATGGTCGAACCTGCTCACTACTGTCTCTGGACCTTTGTAATTTCTTCACCGGTGTTGAGACGAGTGACCCTATTGGTTTCACTCCCCTTTGTAGCCGGACTAGTCCTAAAGAGGCTCTAAGCAGGTTTGTTTCGACCGTGATCAAAAAGTTCTCGTACTTTCTTACAGTGAGAGAGATGAATTCAGGAGGGACGTTCAGCTATTTTTACTGCTGTGGGGGTTGCTAGTAGAACCTGGAACGGTCCCTCCCACCGTGGGTCTGCCCAGGATTTCTTCTTTATGATCTTTATGAAAACACAGTCTCCAGATTTGACTTCTGTGTTTGGCCTCAGTTCTCCTTCAGCCTGCATGGGAGGGTTATTAATAGAGAGAACATTTTGTTTATTCAACAAGTTCCTCATATAGGTAGCCAAGCTGTCTTCTGCTTCTTCACTTCCTTTTGAGAGAGATTTAAAGAGGTATCCCATACCTGGGAATTATTTCTTTTACTAATGCTTTTGCCACAGTTAATGCATTTGGATTAGCACAGGGAAATATTTCAGTCCATTTGGTGAGTGAATCTATAATTACTAGGCAATACTTCTTTCCTTCGCATTTATTTAATTCTATGAAATCCATACATATGTGTTGAAAAGGCCATTGTGGGCTTTTTAGGTCTGAAATTTCCCTGTGGGTTGTGTTTGCACATATTTCACATGCTAGACAAAAAATTTCGAGTAATTCGCAAACCCATAAGCTGTGAACACCTGATTTATGGTATGCACCATCCCTCCTGTTGAGACATGGCAGGGGCCATGGCTCAAAAGATCAGCATACCTAAATAAGTTCTTTGGAAGGATAGGCTTCCCTAGGGGTCAGCAGTAGATGTTAGAAGCATTGACCTGTGTCCCATTTTTCAACCAGTGCTGTTTTTCAGTGTCAGGAGAAACATGTTGCATATCTGCTAGACCTTCCTCATTTAAGTGTGTGTGTGTGTCTGAACTGAGAGAGAGGATGTGAGTCACACTAAGAGCGGCCCGCTTCGCTTCCTCATCAGCTCTGTGGTCATCGTGGCGTGTGTGAGCAGCACACTTACAAACAGCGAGACGTTTAGGCAATTGAATTGAGTGTAAAAGGTCTGGGATAAGTTGTTTGTGGTTAATTCGTTTACCTGCGGAGGTAAACATACCTCTGTTTTTCCATTGTTGGGCAAAAATGTGGACAGTAGCCAGTGACATTAGTGCCATCAGGGCATTTGCTACTAGAGCCATCAACAAACATAGTAATGTCAGGGCTGGCGGATGGTTGGTCTTTGAGATCAGCGCGAGGCAATACATTTTCTGCTATAACATCCAAACAACAATGAGGGGATCCCTCAGAGGCGTTTGGCATAAGGGTTGAAGGGTTAAGCCCCTTGCTACATTCTATTTCCAGATGAGGTTGTGACAACAATGTCGTCATACATGACAAATGTCTGGAGGGAGAGAGATAAGAGATTTTGTTCTGCAGCAAAATAATAGAGACAGCGTGTGGCACACGCAAAACCAAATGATGAAACAAAACCACAGAAGCGGAAGCTTGAACAGCGAGTGAGGCAGCAACAATGGCCTGCACACAGGGAGGCAATGCCCTAGCCACAGGGTTTAGTTTGGAGGAGTAAAACCCCACAGGGCAAGCTTTCTCCCCAGTACAGAAGTCATGAAGCCATTTCTGCAATCTACAGTCTGAAAAAAGGTTTTAGAGTAGTCAGGAATCCCTAACACAGATGAGCTAACCAGAAGTTGCTTAATACGAATGAAAGCGTCCTCGGCTTCGGGAGTCCAGAGGAGGCTGTCATGGGCTGCCATGGGGCTAGAGTAGATGAGGTCCATCAATGGGGCTACAATCTCAGCATAATTAGTGATCCAACTATGGCAATAATTAACCATGCCGAGAAAAGACATGATTTGTCGTTTCGTCTTAGGTTTAGGTGCCTGGAGAACAGCACTTTTACGGGCCTCATCTATGTGCCTGCCCTCATGGGAGAGAATGTGGCCAGGATATTTCACTTGTGTCTTGCTAAGTTGCAACTTGTCTTTACTGACTTTTTGGCTGTTCTCCACCAAGAAGTGGAGAAGCGCTACTGTGTCAGTCCAGCACGAGTCCTTATCAGGACTAGCAATATGTCATCAAAATACAGCAAAATTTGCACAGGAATAGAGAAAAAGCCGTTGTTTATGTCAACAACTTGTTTTCAGGAAGCAAATCATTGAGCAGGGTGTGGAGGTCAGGCACAGTTGGTGCTCGAGGAATTACAGCTTTATTTACCGCTTGTAGATCTTGGACCGTTCTCCAGCCGGAGGATGGTGGTGCCTTTTTAACAGGAAACAATGGGGTGTTGCACGGAGAGTCAGGACACTCAATTAGTACTCCAGCTTTTAATAGATCTGCAATGATAGGTTCTATACCAGCCTCGGCTTCAGGCTGAAGTGGATAATGTCTCTGATGTGGTCGGAAAGAAGATTTTGGAGTAATTGAAACAGGAGCAATGCCTTTAATAAGGCCTACATCAGCTTTACCTTTAAACCATAAACAGTCAGGGACAGTACTCAGCACTGCCTCTGCGTTTTCAGTCAACACATAGATTAGTCAAGGTTCCTTAGAGGAACCAGACAAATGAACTCCAGGGGTGCCTCTAGTAACCCAATTCAGGCGTGTAACAAATGCATGGAGGCTTTGAGAATGTTGGACCCCTGGCATGTATTCTTCGCAAGCTTTCTCGCAGCGAGTTACAAATTCTCCTACATCCATCAAACCAGTTTTGGGTTCCTTAGAGAGGGAAACGTGGGGAGCCGTGCAGCCACAATGCAGTTTTTGCATTTCGGGCTGTAATGTGCATGCGGCTCCACACATTCCCCTTCCAGACCAGTACAGATTTGTTTTTGTCAGACTGGTCTCCTGAGTTTTGAAAAAGCATTGTTCGTACATTACATCACACCCTCCTGTGTGTTAATAATATGTTGTGCAATGTAGATCAGGAGGGCTCAGATAGTGAGCTCTTGGAGGGACTAAGGCTCAAGCTTTGTCAATAAGGGCCTTAGTAATTGAGCTTGGGCCAACATTTGTAAGGTACAAGGAGAAACAGTAATGTGGTTCTAACACCAATACCAGGTCTGCACAGCACTGCGCCCGCAGACCATCACGGACCGGGACCACAGCCATGTGCAGATCGGCTAACCGATCTCTTCCCGATAAATTCACTGGCACATCGGGGGAGAACACAATTTGGGTGTCGTGACTGCGTACACCGGAGTGTGGGCTAAACACACGCACGGGAGTAGACAGTGACGCTTTATTAACTCTGCCATTGGCTGATTTAACATAAATTGAATCATCAGAATTTTGAACATGGGGAACTAAACTAACTAAAAAAACTGAGTAAAATTGTATCAACATGCATGAGGCAAACAGGTTCATCCTCAACTCCTTCAGTTACCTCACCAATGTTAGGAGTAATAAAAGAGTCAGTCTGACCTGTTTCTGTGTCTAGTCATGGCGTCCAGTCGTCAGTCGATTTGTGGCTTGTATGTGGTGTCTACGTATAACTGCATTATCGTCCTCTTTGTCAGTCAGTGCTAAAACGTCAGCCTTCCTAAGTTCTCTCGTCTTTTAAATTCCCGGTGACTCGTTTACGAGCCTCACTCAACCAGTTTTTAGCAAAATTATAACCTCTTCAGTTTGACACAGAAAGCCAAGATGATGACTTATATTATGAATTTTGCACTGCTCACAATTATCCACAGTAATCCTATTAATTGGGGTGAAGGTAACTAGTGTTGTTATTCAAAGGGAGGCAGAGCACTAAGAAGCTACAGTTAAGGCTGTATCTGTGTGATGCATCATAGATTTAAACACTGTTGTAAATCTTTGATCTTGCCATGGAAGAGATTGGGGAGACCGGGGTTTGCAGAAATAATGATGGTTTTATTAAAAAGAGAGCGCTCAGTGTACCGGCTTTAGTCCCACCCCAATCTAAACAGCAGCTCAGACACACAGCTTTTATGCTATGCCACTGACCCCCCACCCCCAATACAGTCATACAGAACAGAGTGGGACTTTTGAATCCTGTCATAAATACCTTACTATGTTCTGCCCCAGGACATCCTCCTTAGGGGGTGTTGTAAGGCCATTTGGTGTAATTGTTCAAACCATGAGAACAGAAATGGAGGTGGCTTCTTAAACCCTTCAGCATTAATACTGTTTAACAATGAGTAACAATTAAAACAAAGGAAAACAAACAGAAAACTAGAAAATACATGAAAAGAAAACAGTTCCAACAACACTGTAACCAGGTGTTGAGAAGACATTAAATTGGGTAAAAATGAAATTGACTTTAATTAAAATTCAGTATTTAACCCTGAAATTTAAATCAAATAGAGAATAAAAGTGAACCTATATGCCATGAACTGGAATTTGATTACAAGAATTCAGTTGAAATATGAGTTGCCAATGTAAAGGAGGAACAAGATTCATCATTTAACGTGAACACTGTCCAGCCACTGGTTAACAATTGTTTAACAGGCTATGCTCCTTCTATGGTTGTAGCCTTTTTAATCCTAATGATGGATGAAGACACTCCAGATTTATGGACTGGACTCAGTAATATGGTGGGCAAGGGATTTAGATGGACAGATGGAAGTCCTGTCCATTACACAGGCTGGGCCAAAGGAGACAACAATATGAAGGTATGAGCATTACACTATTTACTAGCTATTAATTTACTTTGGAAACAGGCGTGTAAGATTGACTACATCAGGAGTGCTCAACCTATCACCCTGGAGAGTTCAGATCCAACACACCTGGCTCTAATATTGGTGTGTTTTGGGTTGAAGCTAAACTCTACAGGATGGTGGATCTCCAGGACCAGGATTGAGCACCCCTGGACTACATGTAACAACAAAAAAAAATGGCCACCGTTAATGATGAGACAGGAATATCACTGCACTTTTGACCAGATGATCTTTGAATCTGTACATATAACCCCGAGTTAGGACATTGTCTTTTATATTGAAGGATAATGCTTGTGTTGCAATGGGAAGCATGCAGAACCCTGAGCTGGGAACATGGGTGAAAAGAAACTGCACTGAAACCAGTGGTTATATTTGCAGTCGTGCTCTGGGTAAGTCTAGAACATCATTTGTGAACATTTTGCCTCATTTTCTTTGTTTTCCATTTCCTTATACATCTTTGCTTCTACATTCAGATCGTTCAATCATCCCAAGACCCACAGAGATACCCAAAACTTTCAAGCTTGGAAATGCTTCTTCATGCTCATCCAAACCAACCTGACCTGGAAGGAAGCACAGCGTCTCTGTGAGGCTGAGGGAACAAACCTGGCCAGCATTCGGGATACCTCCACCCAGTCCTACATTGCTATGCAGGTGCATAGACTCGGACAACCCTTGTGGATTGGACTTAATAGTATGGAGGTATGTTGAATGTGTCAAACAGAAAGGATAGAAATCTTGGAGACTAAAGACCTTTTACACTTCTGGCAGAATTTCTGTCTGTAAAGCTGCTAAAATATGTTAATCTATGTGAACAGACACAGGGATATTTCCTGTGGATCGATAACTGGCTGTTAAATATGGAAAGATGGGCCTCTAATGAACCGAAGAAGGACCATCCTTGTGTTTATGTGGATGTAGATGGAATGTGGAAAACTGCTCGCTGTAACGAAACCTACTATAGCGTGTGTAAGAAAACAACAGGTGAGCTAAGGGCTTTGGCCTTTATGGACTGATTTCAACAGCAATGTAGTGCTGCTAGCACTGTTGAGTATTCCTACAACAGCCAATTCAAAGTGTTTTTGTTAATATCTTATTCCACTTGACTCTAAAGCTGACAGTATACGACCAAAGAATTAAACAAAACTGAATTTTAAACACACACAAACACAATCACAAATGCTTCTCTAATATGGGAGGAGATGCATAGACCAGCTAAACGGAGATGAAAAACATGACATTTGCTACCAAAGTTCGTATATGCCGACTCTGTTTAACTGAATAGAATAGCAAGGTATAGATGTTAATTATTTTTTTTTTTTGGCAAAATGGGCTGTAGAGAGGCCGCATTGTCCTACCGAGTACAATGCTTGGTTTTAGCTTCAGTGTTCAGTGTTAGTATTGCTGCTCAGTTTCTCAGTATTTCTGCTCAGTACTCGGTGAGCAGCGTGTTATTTTGAATGAAACTGTATTTGAAATTGTTCATAGAGGCTGTGTTTTATGTAGCATGTCAGTCAGACTGAGTGTTTAATACAGTGTGAGTATATAAATTGTAGGCTTTGTCTGTACATGATGGACTGAAAAAAACATACAGTGCCAATCATTAAAGAACAAGATTTCTGAAATTGTAAAATGTGTGTCTGGCTTTAGAGGACATTCAATTATAACTCAGCCAAACAAAAGACTCTGAGGAGACCTAAACTCCACAGAGAATAGCAGGGGAAGTTCACTTCTAGACATGTAACCTCTCTCCACAAACCCACAACCCAACACTATAACACACATTCAACACATACACACATCTTAAACTAACAAACAGCAATGGAGCAGCTTTGAAGACCATGCACCAAAAGCCCCTTCTGTAACATGGAGCAAGTTACAGCCATCACAGTATGGACCATAATGCCAAAGAGGGGCCAATGATACAGTGATTAGGAGTTCAGTTACGAAACACATCATTTTGCTTCAAAGCATCACTTTTGTTCGACGTACAGCTTAAGAGGATGGGGGAGTTGAGTGAGCAGACATCTAAACTGAGGTTCAACTAATGCCTTCTTATCTCAGCTCTTTACTGTAAACAATACTCTGATTCCAAGAGCACACGAGAACAACTTACCACCTCCTTCATGTTCAGTCAAGACTTCGTTTCCTCGCTACAGCCCAGAAAGCTTTTCCGTGTTCGGCAGATGCATTATACCTTGTACCATTGCTAATCTATAACCTGTTACATTTATGTTTAAAGTATTTAGCAAATTCTCTTCTCCAGATCAGTGTGCTACATGATTGCGGTGAATCTTTAACAATATTTAAAAATATGACTTTCACAGACGTTGCTCCAACTCCACCAGCTCAGTACCCAGGTGTGTGTCCTGAGCAAACCAATGATCATCCAAAGATGATATGGGTACCTTATAGAGGGCACTGCTATGCTTTTGCATATGGTTCAGAATCATGGTACACAGCTAATCGAATGTGCATGATGAGAGGTGAGTGTCACAATAAGTTTTGGACCAAGATATTGGTCACATGATATGTTAGATTAATTATCTTTCATACATTTCATTTGTTTTTCACAACTACATTGTCATTGCACTGCTTTGTTATTTTTCAGACTGTATGTTTGATGAGCTTAAGGCTTGACTATATGCTTAAAACATGTAATACCATGCTTACTGACTGTTTGTACTTAAAGCAAAAAGTGGTGGAAATGCAGTGTTTTTACATCCCACCAGGAGCTAATCTTGTCAGCATTGAAGATACAATGGAGGCCAAGTTTATACAGAGCTACATCAAGATCTTAGGTAGTGATTATTCTTATTTCTGGATAGGCCTTTTCCAGAATGATGCAGGTAATACCAAAATGAACTGTAAATCGTCATTCACTCAGACATACATTTGTTTTTTGCAAAATGCAAAAGGTTAATGAACGTAAATTGTTATATAATGTTTGACCTGCACAGGAAACTTGCTGTGGATAGACGACAGTGTGGTGGATTACACTAACTGGGACGAAACTGCAGAGCCTGAAGACACAGGCAATGAATATGAACACTATAATTATCAAGATGACAAATACGACTGTGCAGTTATTTCAACCACTACTACACTGTGGCAGATGCAACACTGTACATCTGCTCACTTACCATTCATCTGCAAAAAAGCCAAAGGTATGCTTCTATTTAATTCTGGGCAATACTTATAATCAGAAACACAGATTATTATACAGATGAATCATTAGTGAAGGTTGTATGTTTTAAAAAGGAGTGAAAAGTAATTACTTATTTATCATGGAAAACATATGTGTTTGCAACTTATCATAAAATTCTGTATTAACTTGATAAACTGTCCATTTTTCTGCAAATTAATCTCTTGTGTCACTGGAGAGAAAGGTATTAGCAGGCACATTGTTTGTGTTGTTCACAAAACTCAAGAGTCAGTTCACTTGACAAAAGATGCCATAGGGTACCATTGCATGGAGCTTGGCCACCCCTCTGGCCATCCCAGTTAAACAAAATGAGCGTGCCCATGTGTCTCAAAACGAATAGTGCCCTTTTCGATGAGTTCTAAAAACTTAATATGCCACTGTGCACAACCTGTGTAAACTTATACTGTGCAACATACCAGGGCTGCATCCATCATTTTATAACATTACTTTAAAATAGCAGCCTGATTTCACTCATGCCCAAACTTTTTTGCCTGACGCTTTTATTTGACATCATACAGTACACACAGTCTGGGCCCAAACTGCTCACTACAGCACTAAGTAGTATATAAAAAATAGTGTATCATCAATAGAAGTACAATATGTGAAGAATAGCAGTGTGTGTCTCAGCACGCAGCACTCTTTACCTTAAATTTCATAGAGCGCGAGACTGTGAGGTACAGCGCTCTATTTGGCAATACATATATGTCTAATGAAATGTCCACAAGATGACATGCTTTGAGAATTCAGGTTTATGGAAAACTGGCAAAGCGTCATGGCATTTTAAGTTGCTGAAGTTTGCTGCAAGTTTCACCTGGTGAGCTACTTGAATTTCTACTTACATTAATCACAAACATACTGATCTCTGCACTTACACAGGCTTCCTATTCATGAGTTTCTTATATGAATTTTCTGTTAAAATTCATAACATTTTTCAGGGCATGTATTAGGGCTATGTTATTAAAATAAAATTGTTTTGAATTTGTTCATGACGTTAGCTTCTTCTTTGTCAGCTCCTATGACTACATTATGTAACATTTACTGGGCAATTTCAGGTGGAACAAAAAATCGTAGGAGATGACAAAGAAGAAGCTGACGTCATTAACAAATTCAGAACAATTTTATGTTATTTTAATAAAATAGCCCTAATACATGCCCAGAAAAATGTTATGAACCACTGTTATTCTTTGCCACCCCAATAAATTCACTGGGTCTAACCTGTCCGCCCCATTGTGAAAGTTCTGCCTACACCCATGGGGAGCAGGAATATTTGGTGGGCATGGTGACAAATCGCCAATGAGCCAGGGGTCTAGAAAGTCTTTCCACAGGGACCCAGCGATGTTCCTTAGGTTCATAACCCTCCAAGTCCACCAGATAATAAGAGAATAATCTGGTGGGCCTGAATATGGGAATCCAGAAAGGCCCAGACTACGTAAGCCAGTTCCTTACATTCTGATGCTTAGTTGTTTCCTTAGGGGTAGGTAGCTCCTTTAGAAGGATGCAGCACACTTTAGACAGTCTGTCAATAATAACCACAATAACAGTGAAACTTTGTGTAGGGAACAGATCAATTATAAAATCAGCAGCTATGTGTGACCATGGTCTATGAGGAATAGACATTGGTTCTAAGAGACCAACTGATACCTGTCAAGTTTGTTTACTCTGAGCACAAATTATGATTATTTGAAGCCTTCACATAATCCATAACATCTCTATCTGGAGATGGCCACCCAAATTTACCTCTTATCAGAATGGTGGTTCACTGGATGTCCAAATGTCCAGAGCTCAGCAACGTATGGATCTGTAAGGGAAGGGAAGTGTGAACAGTCTAGGCTACATATACATTGAAGAGAGAAGAAGGGCCAATTTCTTTAGCTTGAGATTGTTGAATTTTCTCCCTGATGTCCCAATAAACAGGAAAAACAATGCATATAAACGGGAGGATGATTTCACTTGACTGTGTGTTTTGGGCAGTGTCATGGAAATGAGAGCATCTGCCTTTATGTAAAGTTAAGCCTGGTGGGGATTAAGGCATTTAACTGCCTTTATGTGTTCAAAATTGTGATTATCAGTAAAAAATTAATTCCTTTCATTGCAGCTTTCATGAGTAGAATGTACAGTTTCAGGGGAGTGTCATGACGTTGTGAAAAGACTGCCCCATGCCTGCTTCACAGCTTCTACTATGAAAGGCAGAGAAGTGCCAGGTTGACATAATATAACCTCTCTTTTAGCAAGTTAAAGGCTTTCAAAGCTAATTCATGCCACTTTGAAGCCTTGGGTTTGTGAGTGAGACGTGAGTGGGTTTGCTATGCTACTGAAACCATGAATGAATCCTAGGTAGAAATTAGCAGATCCCAAGAACCTTTGTAAATCTTTAGCTGACCTTGGTCGAGTCCATTCTATGATGGCTTTAACCTTTCATTCATCCATTTGCACCAGTCTGCATGCATAGTACATAAGACAGTGCCACTCACTATTAAGTTTTTTACTGGGCTGTGCAAGCACTTTTGAAATGGTATAATATATAATATAATGATATGGTATAAAACTTTGTCTGGTAACTGGACTTAAACTGATACAGACAAGATCCAATTTGGTGGAGCTGATCATGCCATCTCCAAGTGTCATTTAAACTTTGGCTTAAATAGTTTTAAGGCACCTTTATCCCCACTATTCTCTGCTGCTAGCATGAGGAAGGTGAGTGCATGATCCACAACTGATCTCTTGCGCATCTTACCTGCCACAATTGTTCACCTGGGTCCTTAATAATAGGTGCATGATAAGGCACCTCTCAAAACTCTTTAAATGAGAAGTATGACAGTGTGCCTGTAGTCTAAGAATTCCACATGGCTGTGGCCCATTAGTGGTTAGTGCCAGTCAGTAGTGACACCACAGAAATGATGTTAGGGTCATCTGTGGGGAAAGTTGCAGGTATGTGACTAAAATAGATGGAGCGCTGTAGCAAGAAAAGAAACATTTGCATAGTTTTGAGGAATCATTGCATTTGCTTGGGATAGCTGAACTATCAATGTGGGCCATCACCAGTGGTAACTAAACTGACCAGGGCAGTGGCAAGAATATGAATGAGTGCAGAAGGCGAGTTAGCATGTTGGTTTTAAAGAACATGACTAGTTCTTCCAAAGTGTCCTTGAGTCGCTGCGGTTGCTGCTTACAAGATCCTAGCATGTTTCCTTGTGTCACCACAGCTGATTGTAAGTTTTGCCAACCGCTGGATCCAAACTATATTGTGACATACAGTGGAGGAAATAAGTATTTGATCCCCCACTGATTTTGAAAGTTTGTACTCTGACAAATAATTAAACAGTCTATGATTTTTATGGTAGCTTCATTTTAACAGTGAGAGATGGAATATCAAAAAGAACATCTAGAAAATTAAATAATATTTAAATAAAAAATAATTTGCATTTCATTGAGGGAAATAAGTATTTGATCCCCTAAAAACCATGACTAATGTTGGCTCCCACAGACCACTGACACACCCTAATCTCAGTGAAGTCGTTACCTGCATGAGAGAGACCTGTCCCAAATTGTCACCTGTATAAAAGGCCACCTGCCAACAGACTCAGTGACACTCCAACATCTCCACCATGGGCAAGACTAAAGAGCTGTCTAAAGATGTCAGGGACAAAACTGTTGACCTATACAAGGCTGGAATGGGCTACAAAGCCATAAGTAAGAAGCTGGATGAGAAGGTGACAACTGTTGGTGCAATTATTCGTAAGTGGAAGAAGTACAACATTACTGTCAATCGACCTAGGCCTGGAGCTCCATGCAAGATATCACCTCGTGGAGTCTCATCGATCATGAGAAAGGCTAAAAATCAGCCAAGAACTACACGGGAGGAGCTGGAGCTGGTTAATGATCTCAAGGCAGCTGGGACCACAGTCTCAAAAAAAACCATTGGTAATACACTGAGACGTAATGGTTTAAAATCCTGCAGTGCACGCCAGGTTCCTCTGCTCAAGAAGGCTCACGTCCAGGCCCGCCTCAAGTTTGCCAATGAACATATTAATGACTCAGAGAGAGACTGGGAGAAGGTGCTGTGGTCAGATGAGACCAAAATTGAGCTCTTTGGCCTCAACTCAACTCGACGTGTTTGGAGGAAGAAAAATACAGAATATGACCCTAAGAACACCATCCCCACCGTCAAGCATGGTGGTGGAAGTATTATGTTTTGGGGGTGTTTTTCTTCTAAGGGCACAGGCCAACTTCACCGCATCGACGGGAAGATGAACGGGGCCATGTATCGCAAAATCCTGGGTGACAACCTCCTTGCCTCCGCCAGGGCACTGAAAATGGGTCGTGGATGGGTCTTCCAGCACGACAACGACCCAAAACATACAGCCAAGGAAACAAAGGAGTGGCTCCATAAGAAGCATATCAAGGTCATGGAATGGCCTAGCCAGTCTGCTGACCTCAATCCCATAGAAAATCTATGGAGAGAGCTGAAGCTTTGCGTTTCCAAATGCATGCCTAAAAACCTTAAGGATTTGGAGATGATCTGCAGAGAGGAGTGGGCCAAAATTACTCCTGAAGTGTTTGCAAACCTTATAAAAAACTACAAGAAACATCTGACTGCTGTGCTTGCCAACAAGGGTTTTGCCACCAAGTATTAAATGATGTTTTACTAGGGGGTCAAATACTTATTTCCTTCAATGAAATTCAAATTCATTTTTATTTCTCATTTCATGTAATTTTCTCATTTTTTCTTTTGATATTCTATGTGTCACTGTTAAAATAAAGCTGGCATAAAATTATGAGACGTTTCATTTATTTTTTTGTATTAAAACTTTTAAAGTCAGTGGGGGATCAAATACTTATTTCCTCCACTGTATATATATTGTGACGGATACTCATAAAGTTTGAAGGATTCATGTGCAGTTCTTTTTGACACAATTGTTCACAAAATACAGTCCAATGGTCAGTCTGTTCACCAAGCTCAGGTTCAGTCATACAAAAGGTGGTAAAGGCCATGTCCAAGTACTGTGCCATGTCATCAGTCTGAAAAGGTGAAAACCAGTAGACCTCAGACTTCTATAGGGCACGTAATTCTCATATTTTGTGGTTTTCCAAAGTATCGTGTAATGTTATTGCTTGAGTGTTGTTAATGTCAATGCTTTCACACGTGACCTAATTTGAGTGTTAAACTAATCTGTTCTTCTCTGCTTTACTTGTCATTCCAGAGATAAAGCCAACCACGGAAATGACACCTACAGGTAATAATCCAGATGATGCAGATTTAATCTTTTGTTTGTATTCTTTTCCTGTTTTATATGTTTAATGGAGAGACACACTTTGAATAATTAACAGAACCTTTAGACCTCGATAATAAATCCTTCACATTACTTTTTGATCAAAAGTCCTTAAGTTTGCTTAATGTTAAATGTTAAGAATGTTCACATGCTATAAGAAAAGACAAAGAATACATTATGGGATTAGATTTATAAGGTGTAGTATAATTTATTATTTACTGCTAATTATTGTTTTTTTTATTGACAAAAATTTCTGAGAGCAGAAGTTGTAAACAGTAACGAGATAAAAGTTCATTTTTGAATGATCACATACTAGATGCCGTTAAAAGTTTCTGTCTATGGTCTAATCAGTGCAGCTGAAGAATGTATCAAATTCTTATGCTATTCTTAGCCCAATATATAATAGAATATTTATTTGTCATTGTCTTAATCATGCTTAATCATGGATAATGTTGAAAAAACCCTGTCAATATGACCCAAACATTCCACATATAAAAAGGTCAGGCTCTTATGTCTTTGAATGGGGAGAGGCCTAAAAATTTAAGACCACATTGCTGTTTCAAAAACAGTTTTGAAATCACTGGTATAATCTGACAAAAAAAAATAGTAGAGTTTGCAGCAAATAATGTACAGAAATGGTCATTTTCAGCCTTTTCTGGCTACTGTGCTTGTGCAGATCTTCACAACGAAGGGGGAGCAAGCCATTTGGCTCTTTTTATCGACTAGGGTTGTAAACAGACAGCATGTTGAGCCTTCAAAATCCCAACCAGTGACCTGTCCCTTTATAATGTCCCTGGTGGCAGCTTGCTGTGAGATAGCCATAACCATAATAAAGTGTCGTAACCTTTATATTTGAGGATCTTGATTTTATTTGATTTTTTGTTGTAGTGATAACAAATGAAAGCTGAAATGTCTGAAATGTCTGGCTATTTTACTTGCCCTTCATCCACTGCAGGGTTGTCACATCAGAATGACAAGCTGAACTATGTCCAGCTTGCCTACCAAAATGGTGGCAGGGTGTTCTTAATGACATAATCAAATGCTATGAATACCGTTCCACTTCCCACCTCACTTGTCTGATATAAACAGTTGGGCTCTCAACCCTTCACCCCATTAAAAAAATGCCTAGCCCTTTTGTTGGCGGAACAGCAAATCACTGCATCAATGCGAGCACTTCATGTCGGCAGTCATGTGATCCATGATGATGTTTTTCATAGCTTCAAATGATCAGTAGTAGGCCCGTCACAATTAATAGTCAATTTCATCACCTTACATGAAAAGACACATAAAATGTTTAATTAATGGTTGAGTTATAGTGAGTAAGGAGAGATTAATGATTAAAACATAGAGACAGTCAGCTGAATATGTGGAGGGTGAAGGAAAGTGATCAGAAAGGCCCAAAAGACTGTCTTCCAGCAGGGCTGGGATTCTCAAAACATCTTAAAACAAAGATGAGGCTGAAATGCACATCTATTTCTATTCTGTAACGGGTATTCAAACTGAAGTAGCAAAGTAAAAGCACATTTATTAGAAATGAATTCACTTGAATTACAAATGAATTTTTTGAATGAAAAAAATACTAGGATTTATTCTACTCAAAAAAGTACAGTTAGAGTAAAGAATATATTCAAGTACTGTGACGAGAGTAAATGTAATCTTTACTTTCCACCTCTGCTAATTACTAAATACTTAATCGTACTAAGTAATAACTAATGCTTAATAACATTTAACTAAAAAATCAATTATTGGTAATTTATGACTTATTAACAACATAATTAATTTGTGACCCTTAATGTAAAGGTTACCTTGTACTGAATTAAAGTTTGAATGCTGTTTTCTCTGGTTTTGCTGTAGGTAAAGCTAAAACAGGCAGGCCTTTTAGTGGAGTGGCAGTGGCGGTGGTGATTGCAGTGCTGTGTTTGCTGGCTGGATTGGTGTACGTCTATCATAAAAGTGCCACAAAACAGGCGACCACATCTGAGCACCCAATGCAGGACACTGGAGAAGCTCTGCTTCCAGAGGACAATGATACTAAAGTGTTGGTTAATCAAATAGAGGTTAATGAAGAAGCCCCTGCTTTGTAATCAGTGAATACATGTATATGTATTGTGATATCTGATCTGCCAGTAAAATAAAAGACGTTTATTATAAAAGAAATATATTTTGCACTGTTAATTGTACTACTTCCAATCATTTTGTACTTTTACCACACAAGGGATCAGGTTTAGATAAGTGGGTAGTCCTTTAGGGTTGGAAGAATTTGTCTTGGACAGTGGAAATGTAGTGATGTTGCTAAATAAACTACCGTTTTGATTCTGTTTAAATCAGCATTGTGTATTTACTTTCAAAGGATATCTTTGAATGCTGAACTTGTGTTTCTGACCAGTGAAATCAACCCATAAAATATCCATTCATTCATTTTGTGCTTGAAGTGTGGCTTAAACCAGAAATGAAGAACTGAATATGGGTGTATTTACTGACTGTAAGAGACTGCAGAGTAATCAAGAGGTGCTGATGTTAATAACATAATAGCAGAATAGCAGAATAACAGAACACAATGCAAACAGCCAATCAGCAGTCTGGATTTTGGAACAAGCATGCTTATTGGCTTATTGATGCTGACTAGACTCAGTATTTAGTACTGAATGTCATTTTTGGTATTAAATGACAAGAAATTTTGTTATTTGGCATCAAAGTATTTCCTTTAGTACTATAACAGTATTACGTTTCGATTCCCAGCTCTAGTTCTAGTAGCCATAGCATTAGTGCACTCTGTAGTTTTAGTTACAGACCGTAGTCCATCTGTTTCTGTGCATAATTTGTTAGCCCCCTTTTACCCTGTTCTTCAATGCTCAGGACCCCCAAAGGACCACCACAGAGTGGGTTTTATTTGGATCATTCCCAGCACTGCAGTGACACTGACATGGTGTTGTTGTGATAGTGTGTGTTGCGCTGATACGAGTAGATCAGACTCAGCAGTGGACATGGTTAAACATCTATGCCTTCAAAGCAATTTTCTGACTAGACCTGCAAAACAATGTATTTCACACATACTGCAGAGAAAGTAGAAGTAAAAAGAAAACTTTTTGTGTAACTTACTTGACAGCTCAGGATCACATGCTTTTAAAATAAACAGTCTGAATTGTTCTTTGGGATTGAAATCTGTTTTTTAATGTTTGCTTTGACAGCACTGCGAGCAGTTAGAGGGGGTATGAAATTGCAGTTACTAAACACGCACAGTATGTCATGCTTACAGTTTTCATAGTTTCCCTTCCCTCTGAATAACCACACATTGCCATGCAAGACAGCATGTCTCTGCTGAAGGCTGGATTTGTCAGAACTTATGTAACGTATGCTTCCTATCTTTTGTCTGGCTTGAGAAAGCTTACATTGTCCAGGTTGTGCAATACTGAGGTGGTACAATATGTATTTGGAAGTGGTGATGACTAAGCACTTGTTGCGTTTTGCAAATACAAAGCAGGAGTTGTCTGTGCTGTAGTTTTGCTTGTATTACGTATGTAAATTGTTGAAATAGTAAATGTAGCATTAAATCACTTTACATTGAGGCTTTGTTTGGAATGCACACAAGATCTCATACATTTTTAGATTAATTTTCCACCTTTTTCTTTTTGCTTCAATGCCTTTTTAGCATTCGTACATTGTTCTAATAGAAATATCTCAGATATTATGCAATATTGCTGTCTACGTACTTGGATTGCAATTACTGTTACATGGTATAATACAGTATTAAAAATATGTAATCAAGAACTTTTAAACAGAGATGGCAATACACTCATCAAATGTCTCTATTACTAGTCCAAAGACAAATAAATCGCTGTTGTCAGAAGAAAACCTCGTATCTTCACTTTTGATATTTTTCTGTTTTTGACATAATTTGAAAATATTTGTTGCTCTTTACATTGTTTGCAAATTTCATGAAGGACAGACTAAAAGAAATGACCTAAAATGACTTGGAAAAAATTCTGGTTCCATTGATTTACATTGAAAGTAAAGAAGGTTTTTCCTTCTCCTGTAAAGTTAGCATTTTGTGGATGAGATGAGAAGAGGTTTTCTTTCGACAACAGTGAAATGTAACATAATGTCAATAACATAAAAACATTGTATTTTATGTTCTTTGTCTCTGCAAAGCTTCACTCTTCTCACAGCAAAGTCTCCTATTTGCTAGAACGTGCATAACATGTGCTTCCAATCTCCGGCTTGACTTGACATGATGTTTTTTTTACTGTGGGTTATTTCCGCATTCTTAACACCCCAGGAGGTTTCAAGCCCTTCCTAACCTCACGGGGAGTCCGTTCTTCTTAATTAAGTATCTTGAAAGCAATTATACTTTAGTGCTTCTAAAGACAGACAGAAAACATACTTCAACTTTGTGATCATACCTACAACTTTCACCTTCAGCTTTTATACTATACCAAAACTTGATAATAGTGCTGCAAAGCTCTTTCAGCCAATAATATTTAATTACAACTAAAATATTGTTTAAAAATGTTTTATAAGCATTGTCAAAGCATATGTAGTGGAATATGTATCTACATGGGAGCTCTTTACTGCAGTTTTGTGGAAATGAAAAGCATGCAGTGTCATCAGAAGTACAGTTTATGCCCAAAATATGTCTCCTTTACTGCTGTAACAGGCTCTACTCTTCTGGGAAGGCTTTACACTAGATGTTAGAACACTGCTGTGATTCGATTGCATTCAGTCACAAGAGTGGCAGCAATGGGTGTATAGCTTGAAGCAGCTGAAATCAGTATTTAGAAGTGGTGTCTGGATACTTTTGAATATATGGTGTATACAAACAGGATGAGTGTGGATGTGTGCAGGAGAAACCAGGACACTGGTGCTACTTCCCTACTGAATTCAGGATCATGTTTCTCCATCACGGCATGGTACGTGACGCAGAAGAGGTATTTTTAAGCTAGTCTAGTTTTTCTCCCAGAACGCAATGGACACTAAAAACACCCATAACCCCAGAAGGATGGGGTCAGAGAGATACCAGAATCCAGCAGCCAATGCACACACACACACACACACACACACACACACTTTTGAATCTCATCCAGGGGAACATCTTATCCCCAAAAGTTCTAATTGTACTTTGCCACTTTAAAAGAGAAAAACATCTTTCTCACAAACGAATGCACTGCTCTTTCCAACCTTTACCCCTAATTCTACAGGTTTTCTTGTTCAACATAACAGCATAGCTCAGTATTATCCACAGACAAAAAATTACAGCAACTGACCCAAAACCTTTCCAGGAGAACAAATCACAGGAATGCAGTGAGCCAGATGGAGTTCTGGAATTAATTAGACCACAGCCATTCAGTGAAAGTGTTGAGATTAGATTTGCGCTCATCTATTGTTCAGAAGAGAAAAGATAAGGTGTATCTATACGTATAATATATAGTTGTTTGCAAAAATTTGGACGCCCTGGTCAAATGACATTTTGTTGAATTTCTGAGTGAAAATAAGTCACACATCCTCTACAGCATACAGAGTCCACGTCTGCACAGAAGTAATTCTGAATTCATAATGACATTTTAAAAGGCAGCTGGCTTTTCCAAAATCTACTGAAAAATTGTTCCTTCAGCGGTGCATTGGATATGGATCATTCTACTGAACTGGTTCAAAGTCAGAGTTGAAAACACACAATTTCAGATTTTTTAACTGTACCTTAATTATGTTTATTTAATTAAAACACTGAACATTCAATAATGGCAATTTTTGTATAAAGTTTTGTATTAATTTTAGTATTTTCATTAAAACTCAAAGAAATTTTACTTAATTGCAGAACAGTGTGTGCAGAGGCATGGCTAAAATAAGACTCCGCCTACATATTAAATGTCTTTGTGTTTTGGTAGTGACATGAAAATATGCGACAGCATTTTATGAATTCATTTAAAAATTAAACTCATGGTAAATTGAAGTCTTTACACTTTAAAATAGATCACAAAGATCTTTTTAAAAACAACTTTAAAAAATATATTATTTATGAACTATAATTTTGTATACCTGTAGCTTATTACTATCACTATAATAATGTATTGGATTTAAATAGATCAAAGCAGAATCTTTGTGAATATTTAAGATCTAAAAGCTTTTTAATTCTTTTCTGATTGTTTTACATTTTTTATTTATTTTTCACTGTCAAGCTGCAGTATTTGATAGAGTGGTATATATATATATATATATATATATATATATATATATATATATATATATATATAGATGTGTGTGTGTATCAGCTCATGTTTATATATATTTATATATATCTCATTGATGCCACAAAACCTTGTATCTCCATACATGTTGATTGTGCAATATCTATTTGCCTTTGTACAAAAAGTGGATTTGATCTTCTTATCAGAGGAATTTCTTATCAGAAATTCTGAAATTCATGTTCAAATTCTACTACAAGTCTATTTGTTATGCTGAAAATATAATTTGTAAAGAAAAACTACATTAAATTTAAAAACGAAGGCAAATGAGAAGGATTTTCACTTTTGAACAAATTCTGTATGTATGAGCTTGTTGGACAACGCATTCTAAAGCCATGGGCATTAATATGGAGTTTTGGAATTTTTTGGCAGCTATAACAACCTTCACTCTTCTTGGAAGGCTTTCCACAAAATGTTGGAGTGTGTCTGTGGGAATTTGTGCCCATTCAGTCAAAAGAGCACTTGTGAGGTCAGACACTGATGTTGGACAAGAAGGATTGGCTCCCAATTGACCTTCCAATTCATCCCAAAGGGGTTTAGTAGGGTTGAGGTCAGGGCTCTGTGCAGGCCACTGGAGTTCCTCCATACCAAATTTGTCAAACCATGTCTTAGTGGACCTTGCTTTGTGCACAGGGCCATAATAATGCTAGAACAGCAAAGGGCCTTCAATAAACTGTTGCCACAAATTTAGAAGCATATAATTGGCTAAAATGTCTTTGTGTGCTGTAGCTTTACCATTCACTGGAACTAAGAGGCCAAATGGTGATAAACAGCCCAGGTCATTATCCCTCATCCACAAAATACTGTTAGTACTATGCACTTCATCCATCAGACTGCCAGACAGCGAAGCGTGATTCATCACTCCAGAGATGATCCAGAGTTCAGTGGTGATGTGCTTTACACTATTCCAGCCAACGCTTGGCACTTCATAATTTCAGTCTTGTGTGCAGCTGCCCATTTC